TATGGAGTTGAGTTAAGTGGTAAAATCGCTACGACACTTTCGATTCGATATCGAATCCCACTGGGATTGTCGAGCAGATCTATATGAGGCTAAAGCCGCCTTTCATCCTGAATGAGATTACTTTTTTGGAGGCAAGTCTAAATTAAATTCAATGGCATCCTGAGGCCTACTCATCCAATTGTGGGAAGACTCAACTAGCAACCCTTAAATCACTCTAATCGACCTAGAGGGATTAAGCTGTTAAATAAATACGACAACCAAAATGAACGACTCATTAGGCTTCATGTAACACGAGAATTCTTTTACTCGACATCAAGTCTTCTTCATTACCCCATCGTGGACGATACCAGCCCTTTTGTTCAAGGTGATTACCGAGGCAGTTTTAGTGTTGCTTAGAGGTAAATCGAAGTAGATACTAACTCTGAGACTCATTTAATATTGATGATTCTGGCTGAGAATGTTGATTTGCGATGGCCTTACTAATGCTAAAGTTTATAAGACAGCCAATATTGGTTAGATAAAGTCGAAATAATGGGGAATTTTCGAATCAATTACTTGCACAGTCGGCCTTGACTATTTTAGAGGCTGCTTGATGTGCTGCCAGATCGACATAGTTCTCACTTTGCATCCGCAGCGGTTGCTGTTGACTCGGCGGTTGGACAAAAGAAGGAGCCATCGGGACACTGGGCTGAGGCAACATCTGTTCCGATCTGTCCATACAGAAAAAGTGAGCTGAAGTAAAAGCCGAGGCACACGTGGAATCATCTTCAGTTGTAGCATCGAAGGGGTGAAGGTGACGCAATACATTGGCAGGGTGTGAAGAGAAGGCGACTGTGGGTGTCAGGACATTAGGCGATAGGAGGAGTTCTGTTGGTTGTAGGCAATCGGGATCACAGCTAGAATTGTGGGCGTTGATGGGACTTCTGCTACCATCGGAAATGACTTGAGCGTCGTTGTCCCTGTCCGCAAACTCACCCCCTTCTGTATCATCAATGTCAACAGCAAAGCCATCATCTCCAGGATCGTCACAAATATCGCTCCTTCTTCTCAACTTCCTCTTTGCCAATTTAGTCATCTTATTCATGTACAGAGAAGAGTTTAGACCGATTTTTATCGGCACGAGGCTGGAAACATCTGTCGAAGCTTGCGAACTGGAAGATATCAAAAAAGAAATAGAAGCAAAGATATAATAGAACACTTAGACAATGAGATTCGCAACATTTTTTGGGTACTACTAGTCAATAAGCAGTTACAACCAGTTCTGGGTAGCCGTGAGGATAAGAAATCTAATGCCATAAGATGTGATAAATAGGCATTCGATCAGCGGCTCGTAGGCCCAAAGTGCCCAATGAATGCTTGGAGCCAAAAAATGTAAAATTAATTGCCCCCCTCAATTTTCATAGCAGGAGGAAATTGTTAATCACCACCAAATGTCAGTACAATAAAGTTCAGAGTGACTCAGCCTATACGAAATCCTTCCTTATTTCTGAATCACTCAACCTGAGTCATGACTTTCCTTGCGGTATTAGGCCTTTACTACCCTGAACTAATATTACACTTTATTCTAATCAATCAGAGTTATAACAGTTGTTTTATTAAATACAAACTTACAGATACACAGTCACCTGCTTATCCACAGCCTCTTCAACTTTCACCCTTCCTTATATATAAGCATATATATATATTAATATACCTATAATGATATATGGTCAGAATGATTCTTCACATTGCCTCCGAGCACACTGCCTCGTGTGCTGTGTCAACTTGAATCTCATAGAAAGATAAAAAAGCCAAGCACCGGGAATCTGCCATCGTCTTCTGGTGGGATCGAAATAGAAAGCTCCTTAGCCGACATTTTCACACGAAATGAAAGCCAACAAAACAATTTAATCGCGTAAGAGTCAATGGAGCTCAGTAAAATTTTGTTTATACCTTATTGACTGACTAGGTGCACAAAGGTGCGGAATAATTAACTTTCGTACCAGTCACTTTGCAATTATGATCAGCCAGACTGTGCAGTTTAAGTGGAGAGCTTCAATAGCTTTGTAGTAAACTTAGCCCTGAGGTATATTGAGAAACTACGTCCTGGAGTTAATTATGAAATGCTGAGACAAAAGGCTGGTTGAATATCGGAGGGGACGAAGAGCAAATATTGATACTTTTTTGGTCTCTTTACTAAGGCGCAATTATGTCTGAAGCATGCTATATGACTGAAGAGATAATATATTTATGATGTAAATGATACATTAGGAAGAATTCATAATTATGCATTAAATTTACTGCGTATTCCCCTCTGAAATGCCTTTCACATCCAACATGGACTGCAATCTCGACCTCACCACATCATCTCATCAGTTCTCCCAGCTGGATTGGAACCATGAGCATGCAAATTCATTGTCTAGGCCCGACGATTCTGCTCACACCGAAACAGAATCGTCCAATTGGCAACGACGCATAACTATAAAGTTTCCGAGAAAGAGTTAACATCTCAAATACACGGGACTTTCTCTCTTTTCGTCTTGATTGCCTGACATACAAAGAGATGACATTGATTTTTGGATCTGGAATTCCGGACTTGGACTGGAACTGGCAGATGATATTGCTGATGCCTTTCCGTGTGAATGGTGAATTAGCAAGTCCTTCAAAAATGCTTATTATTGAGCATAATAAATTCGTATTAGTTTACTAAACTCATAATTATTATTTCGATATCCATGTCTTATTGGCACTTTCAGAGAGCTCGACAGTAGTTAATATTTGGATCAAATCGCTGATTAGCTAAATAATCGAAGTCTGCGTTTTCTGATCACCCCATAGCCGTTGTCAATATAGCATCTTGGCGAAACTTGCTTTGGGTTGGTGGCTGACAAAGTTGAACCAATTAATTTAGACATGCTCTTGAGAGGATCTTAATTAAACCACTATAGAATTCTCGCTTAGGATGCGTTTAGTATCCATGTCTCCGCTACAGTTGAGAGATAGACAAGTAAAGGCATCAGTCTTTATGTGGACTCTGGTTTAGAAACTCAAGTACTGGTGGGAGATGTCAGAGGAAGTTTTTCGAGTATATGCCCGGTAGAAAAATCCAGTTCGTTATTTCTCTAGTGAGTTTTTCGACATAAAATACCCCTATATGCGTTTATGAAGAAGACCTCCAAATATGTTGAAAGGTTCAATTTAAAGAAAACTTACAATAAATAGATCAAGATAAACATGTTTTCAAGAATCATCACTTTATACTCAGACGAAGAAAGCTTGTTTCCCCGCAAGTCAACCATATTCGTTTTTTGAAATTATGTTTTTCACGGAGGGTTGTTCCTAGGTTTTGTATTATCGATAGACCAAATTTGCCAAATAGATCTAAATGAGTCCTTCAGAGGGCATCCCAGGTATTAAGTTATATTATGACCAAAGAAAACATTAAAAAATTACACTCTTTGATAATGGGGAAAACCAGTTTACGCCAATCATCGGTAAGCACTATTAGCCGGGGAGATTTCTCTAAATTTCAGAGAATGGCAGACAGGTTTTATGATATTGTTTTTCAACAGGTTAGATTCAGACATGATAAGAAATTTAGGAATTTAGGTATAGAAATTGAGACAAAAGCTAATCAAAATACGTCTATGAGAGATAGTAGTGAGGAAAGTATAGTTGGGGAGAAAGTGGTAAATCTCTCCAAAAAAGCCTTGGACTTTACTACCGAGAAAATGCTTTCGAAAAGTTAGAACTTTGCTTTGTCAAACAATAC